TTTTTAAATTAACATCGAACTCCTACTAAACAAAAAAGTGAAATTTTAGGAAGATAATTTTTTTTTTTTGGGATAAAATACATTTTTCATTATTGAGGTCGGACTCGTTTTCTATTTAGTTCATGAGTTTAAAAGGCTATCAATTTTAGTCTCTGAGATTTAAATTTAGTTTTGATTCCATCGTTGAAGTTTTAAAAGTGACATGTTTGGTCCTTGAAGTTTGAATTTAGTTTTTAATTGGTCACTGAGGTTTGAATTTGGTTTCTAGTTCGTCCCTAAGTTGATTTTACAGAGTTAATTTACCTAATTGAATGATAATGTGATAGCCAACATATTTTGACTAGACATTGTTGTTGATGTATATTAATTTTTTAAACGAGCTGCCAAATTTTATTATTCTTTATTCTTTTCTGCCTAATTGACATTTTTTTCTCCTTCTTTCTTCCTCCCCCTGTTCGTGTTCGGTTTAACATTCAAATTGATTTGTATTTAAAAATAACAGAACCTGTCGAGAATACGACCACAGCAATAATTAAGGCCATTTAGAGGAGCTGAGCAACTAACGAAGAGAATCGTACCCCTCCCTCTTTCCACCATGCATGAAAGCACCTACAATTTCTAAAGACTAAAAAGATATTAGATTTGGCAAAAATATAAACATTGAAAAAATGCGAGTAGGAAGAAATGAAACTTAGGACGACGTAGAATGGTGCATTAGGCATGCACAACAATAATGGCCCATGAGCCCACTTTACTAAAATAGATAGAAAAATAATTAATACTAATAATATTTGTTTAGAATTAGAGGGTATAAAACCCCCTCAACATATATTCATACGAGTCGATTTTAGGTAACGACTATTTTTATATTTTTACAGTTTAGAGATTAGAATAGACATTTTGAAAGTTTAAACGGTGATGACCATTTTATTTTTAATTTTCTGTTTTTTAAAATTAAAACCGTAAACATTACCTTTACCTATATATTTCTTTGTTTTGCATTTATTTTTTAAAAATGTTATCAAAATCGAATCTAAAATTTGAAAATTAAGAAAAAAAAGTAGTTTCCAAAACTTGTTTCTATTTTTGAAATTGAACTCAGAGTTCAAATTAATTCCTAAACATGTGAGTAAAACAAAGCATCATTCTCATAAACGAAAAAAATGGAATAATTAAGAAATTAGGGGTAAACTTATAATTTTTCTGAATTAGTAGCTACTTTAAAAATAAATCATCTTTTCTACGGCTAATATATAAATCATCTAGACAATGGGCATGTATATTATCTATCTTAGGAAGTATCACACTGAGAAATCTTATTCGAGTCGGAGAGTTTGGTTTAAATAATATCCGAGTTGGAGAGTTTGATTTAAGTAACATCACAGATTTCTTATTGATATATCGAGTATATCATTGATATAACTGATATACCAATATGAAATATATCAATCACACTACATATATTAGTAATATACTTTCTATTAGGTATATCACATGCGAGAGTTTTTCTATTGACGATATAATTGACTTTTCCTTTTTTGTTTGGGTTGGGCCTCGCCCTTTACTATATTTGCAAATAATAAAAGTAGTTGGTATATGAGCAAGTGACCCAAAATAATTAGTAACTAATAATATTTATTTCTTAAAAGAAAATGATAAAATTGGTGAGGTGCAAAGCCGCTTGCCTAAATCTATAATATACCTACACTTAAAAAGGAAAAAAAATGGATTTTAAATTTTTAAGTGATAAAATAATAGCAAAAACTAAAATAATTAATTTAGAAGTTAAAATAATTATTTTTAAAATTTTGAGAGATAATTTACTTATAATTTTTCTTAATTAGCTATTTCTAAAACAAATCATCCTTTTTACGGCTAATATCTATACATGATTTGGGGTCTGGGGATGTATATTATCTTCAGTGGATCCGACTCATAATGGGCCCGATTCTTCAATCTGTTTGCCATTTGAGGCCCAATTCAGGCCCAATTAGAACTAGGGTTTTCATATAAGTAGTGCATCATCTCCTCAAGTTAGCGGATTCTACGTTGCCCTACCTTCTTCCTCCAGCCGTTCCTCCGCAGCACTTGACAGAGAGCAGTCGCACTTTTTCCACACCGTCGCCATGAGAGCTAAGGTAATTCATTTGAAGATTCATCAATAGATTGAACTCGTTTTCAACTTTTACTTCTTTTTAGTGATGCTTGACCTACAGATGCGTGAATTCTAGGCTTCTGATCATTTTTGGTTTTGTTTTGCAGTGGAAGAAGAAGAGAATGAGGAGGTTGAAGCGTAAGCGCCGAAAGATGAGGCAGAGATCCAAGTAGGGGCCATTATCTGATGGATTGCTCCGACCTAGGGTTTTTGTTGTTACTGTTTAGATTTCTTGATGTTATCTTCGTTTTTGTCGCGTTACCATTTTGAAATGCTTTTTTATTTATTGCTATGTGATCGAGAAACATTTAGTTGTCTTCAATTGAGAACTGGATTTTCATCAGCTTAATCGTTTTTATCAAGTGATTTTCATATACTGTTCAATATTCCTTATTTTCTGCAGCAGTAGTGTTATTATTAAGCTTGCGGCGTTATATCTATCCTATTCTCTTTAAACATGAACCCTTGGGAAATTTCTGGAAGTGCTCAATTTGGAAATGTAGCAGATGAAGGTGCCATGAATAGGTCTTCTAGATCTTTTCTCATAGATTCATTTGGTTCAGAACAAACCATTTGATTGAATCATAATCATGTCATCATGGATATGGAATTTGATTTCTTGATTTTTCATTTGCATTGAGTTTTGTACCCTTGAGCCCTTAGGAAACTAAAATACAGGGTTTTTTGATTTCTGAGGGTGGGGATACTTGTACCATTTTTTTAAAAAATAGTTGTCCAATTGATAATTTAGGTTCTTCATATTTTTTGTTATGAAAGTTGGATTGTTGCTCTTGGAGGGTTATATCAATTTAATGACTTTATTTTTTTATAGCTAAGATAGTTATTCTGTTATGCTATTTGTCTTGCGATTGTGCAAGAGTTGCAATAGGATAGGATTGATTTAGGTATAGAAGAACCCTCAATTGTCTTGATCAAGCATTTTGTACACATCATTTTCTACAATGTGCTCTACAATGCTGATTCTTACAAGAGCTGTTTTCTAGTAAAGTTGCCAACAGCTGACAGATTTCTAGTAAAAGCCTATAATCTATAACCCAGAAGTCTATTTTCTTTGACTACTCAGCCCAACTTTCTTCAGTCCTTCAAATGCTGCTATAGCGTCTGAATCGAAACCGCCTGCATACTGAATAGGTTCCGAGTTGTGTTAGTCACTGTGCACTAACATGTGATTAGATTAGTTTGCCATTCTATTACCTGGTGAACCCTGTAAGCAAATCGAACCCCTTGAAGAAGAAGATTATCTGCTTGTTGCGTGTTATCGATTGATTGGAGTTCTCTTGTTATCCTTCGCATGTATTCCTTGGCCAGCCTCAATGAGCTTAACTTCATCTGCAACCAATAGGCAGAATCATTATGTCCATGTAAATTAACAAAGTTGTTTTAATAGAAGTGGAGATTATGGGTTACATTTCAATATGAAGTGTTATTAAAAATGCAGGAGTTTGGATCGTTGAAGGTTTAAATCACCTGACCGACAAGTCCAGATTCGAACATCCATTCGCAGGGTATTCTAAAATTTCTGTACTTGTTACAACTGAACTCCCTCGTCTTCTCCACATTGCTCACACTCTGCTCCAGCCTGCAAAATTTCAAAAAATTCTCATCACTTCTCACTTATCACTCAACCTCCAAAAATAGGCTCACCACAGATTGTACATTCTCGCCTGTCTTGCAGCGCCTGAGCCCTCTTCAGTACCACACCCATCTCCTCCTTCGGATTGTCTCTGAAGGAACATACTTCACTCTCCAGGCTCTTCAGGTCCCTGTAACTGAATGCTGCCTCCCGCAGTGCATCCGCCTTCCCCTCAGGCCACCGTGGGAAGTGCTTCAGCACTGCCCTCTCATCTACCAGCGACCCCAGCTCTCTGTCCAGCCAGTTCACGAACCTCTCCACCTCTGTTATGTCCCTTGGTGCTGCCCCTTCCACTTCCTTGATCAGCCAGTTCACGAACTCTCCGTGTGTTTCCACCTCTGATTTTATCTGCCCGGGTTTTTCGTTTTGGAGAGTACTTAATTTTGTCTCTAATAAGTCTGTTTAATGCTTGCAAGTATGCCGATTCACTAATTATGTCTAAAATTGGTTTTTTTTAATGTAATAAGTGGGAGCAAGGTTTTGATATTTTAGTCGGAGATATCTTTTTTTAAAATTACTTTCATTAATATGAAGGATAAGCACGAAACCGAAAATTATCTAATAATTTGTTTTGCCTTAATATATCTTTTAATTCCTTTTGAGTATTTTTTTTCTAATTTCATCTCAATTATTTAAAATGTTTTAATTTTGCTCCTTATGTTATAAAATTTCTCAATTGTGTTATATTCGTTGGAGTTGAAAACTTCTTTCATCTAATTTTTTTTCCAACTTGGTATTATCATACCATATTAGTTATCACGCCCACCAATAGAGAAGGCACG